GGGTCGGAAAGAGGGGTACCTGAGACCACGGGAGACTCCACAGGAGGAGAACTGGAAGCAGAGACCTCCGGGGCAGCCTGGAGACCAGCAGCAAGGGAGGTAGAGCGGTTAACTCCCCCCTCCCCTGCATCTCGGACTGCTAGTGGGCGCCCCAGCGGGTGGAGAGACCTACGACACCAGCCCAGAGACGGCCACCACCAGTAAGCGGTGAGCCTGTATCGGACGTGGTACCAGGCTCCCAACTCCTGCAGAGCACTTCCCTGTGCACAGACCCGAGCCAAGGGGCAGGCGCCATATTGCCTCCTTCTCCCCTCCCCCGACCCTACCCGTGGCTGCTGAGAGGGACAGCCGGAGGCACCTCCAGGGAACAGGACCTTCCTTTTTGGGGCCCTACAGCTGACTGAGGGGAACTCAGACGGTGAGCTTCCCACCCGCCAGCCCTCCCAGGAGCTGCTGGCCCAGTGATCCCAGGAGAATGGGGCAGACCCTGAGGTTGAGAGACATAGACCCAGCGTGGGCTCCCTGTGGGTGAATTGGGACTGGCACTGCTCTCCCTGGTGGGGATATAGTTTGAACTCTGAGACCCAGAGGTCAGACCTGCAGACCAGATCCCGTGCACCAAGGTCTTGCATTGCCCGGGACACAGAAGGGATATATGCAAACAGCCTACTGAGGTGTGTGTGCCTTCAGGGCCACATCAGCATCCTAGAGGGAAACCCTCCTCCCAAAAGTTGGCTGTGCACCCAGCCCAGGTGGCATTCTGGCACAGGGAACCTCCCCACCGGCATCACAGCCAAGGAAGGCCTGGTGACATGAGGTCTGGCCTGCTGGCAGAGGCCCAGGAATAGCTGTGGAGTTGGGGAGGGTGGAAAGAAGCGAGGCCCGCTCCAGACTGCAGGTCTCAGACAGCCCCAACCCCGAAGACTCTCTGGCTGAGCAGAGCCATTCCAGCCCCTCCTTGGCAGCTATTCCCGGAAGCAGAAAACAGAACTTTGACCCCTACTAACAGCATTTGTGGTGCCTGAGGGCAGGCTTACCCAACCCAGCTCTGCCCAGACTTTCTCCTAGACCAGTCCTCACTGAGGGGGAGAAAAGGACACACCTGTAAGTCCGAGGGCCCCACCAACCACCTGAGGCACTAAATGTGCCTCTCCAGGGGAATAAGAACTGGTCACAGGTCACAAAAACAACAGCACAGCCTGTTCCTCCAAGCAAGCGCCACCTACTGACAGGGAGGACACCCTGCACACCCTCTTCACAGCACCTATTGACTCATCATACAGGGAGTGGTCTAACCTCACCTACAGACACCACCTACCAGCTCAGAAACTAAACAAGGCATGTGAATACCCAAACGAAAATCTAAAGGAAAGAAACAACAACTGATCAACATGGGAAGAAATCAGCGAAGGAACTCCGGAAATATGAAGAACCAAACAGAAACCACACCCCCAAAGAGAAGTACCAGCCCCTTAGAAACGGACACCAACCAAAATCAAGCAACCAAAATGACAGAAGAGGAATTCTGAATGTGGATCATAAGAAAATTCAACACCCTGCAAGAACAACTCAATAACCAACACAAACAAACCACAAAAAGCCTCCAGGACCTAGAACAAAAGTTCACTAAAGAAATCGATACAATGAAGAAAAGTTTAACCGAACTCCTGGAAATGAAGAATCAATTCAGGGAACTACAAAATACAGTGGAAAGTCTCAAGAACAGGGTAGATCAAACAGAAGAAAGAATCTCAGAGATTGAAGATAACACCTTCCAATTAAATAAAGCAGTCAGAGCGATAGAGCAGAGAAACAAGAGAAAAGAGCAAAGCCTACAAGATATGTGGGATTATGTGAAGAAATCTAATGTGAGGGTCATAGGGTTACCAGAAGGGGAAGAAGACAATACTCAAGGGTTGGACAAGCTATTTGAAGATATAATAGAGGAAAATACCCAGGCCTTGCTAAAAATCTCAATATAGAAGTTCAAGAAGCTCAGAGGACCCCTGGGAGATTCAATGCAAACAGGAAGACGTCACGACATGCAGTCATCACACTGACCAAAATATCAATTAAAGAGGCCCTTCTAAGAGCTGTAAGACGAAAGAAGCAAGTAACATACAAGGGAAAGCCAATTTAAATAACACCAGACTTATCTACTGAAACTTTACAAGCAAGGAGAGACTGGGCCCCATTCTCACTCTTCTGAAACAGAACAATGCCCAGCCTAGAATCTTATTCCTTGCAAAACTAAGTTTTGTATATGAAGGAAAAATCAAGACATTCTCAGATAAGCAAAGACTGAGGGAATTCACCAAGACAAGACCAGCCCTTCAAGAAGTACTCAAAACAGTGTTACCCATGGATCAGCACAATAACACTCATGAATATAAATCTACTCAAAGCTAAAGATCAAAGCCCAGACACTACAATGGCTCAAGAGAGAAAACAAAGCAACAAAGTTCAATCCAACATAATGAACAGAAATCTTCCCCACCTATCAGTTATCTCAATAAATGTGAATGGCTTGAACTCCCCATTCAAGAGACATAGGCTGGCTGAATGGAAGTATCTGCTGCCTTCAGGAAAAACATCTAACCTGCAAGGACATTGGCCTAGGCAAAGAATTTATGAAGAAGACCCCAAAAGCAATCACAACAGCAACAAAAATAAACAAATGGGACCTAATGAAATTAAAAAGCTTCTGCACAGCCAAAGAAACTGTCAAGAGAGCAAACAGACAACCCACAGAATGGGAGAAAAATTTTGCAAGCTACACATCTGATAAAGGGCTGATAACTAGAATCTATTAAGAACTCAGGAAAATCAGCAAGAAAAAATCAAACAACCCTATCAAAAAATGGGCAAAGGACATGAATAGAAACTTCTCAAAAGAAGACAGAATAATGGCCAACAAACATATGACAAAATGTTCAACATCTCTAATCATCAGGGAAATGCAAATCAAAACCACAATGAGATATCACTTAACTCCAGTGAGAATGGCCTTTATCAAAAAGTCCCCAAACAACGAATGCTGGCATGGATGCGGAGAGAGAGGAGCACTCCTACACTGCTGGTGGGACTGCAGACTGGTTCCGCCTCTGTGGAAAGCAATGTGGAGATACCTCAAAGCGATGCAGGTGGAGCTACCATTTGATCCAGCAATTCCACTACTGGGCATCTACCCAAAAGATCAAAAGTCACTTTATGAAAGGGACACCTGCACTCGAATGTTTGTAGCAGCACAATTCACAATTGCAAAGCTATGGAAGCAAACCAAGTGCCCATCAATTCATGAGTGGATCAATGAAATGTGGTATATGTATACCATGGAGTACTACTCAGCTTTAAGAAACAATGGTAATATAGCACCTCTTGTATATTCCTGGATAGAGCTGGAACCCATTCTACTAAGTGAAGTATCTCAAGAATGGAAAAACCAGCACCACATGTACTCACCAGCAAATTGGTATGAACGGATCAACACCTAAGTGGACATATAGGAGTAACATTTATTGGGTGTCAGGAGGGTAGGAGAGGGGAGCAGGGGATGGGTATATACAACCACAATGAGTAAGAGTGCAACGTTTGGGGGATGGACATGCTTGAGGCTCTTACTTGAGGGGGGAGGAGGGGCATGGGCAGTATGAGTGGCCTTGACACTTGTACCCCCATAATATGCTAAAATAAAATTAAAATTAAAATTTAAAAAAGGTAAAAGTTATGGTTATAGTATACTGGAATCCATTAAGTATTCAATAGCAGTGTGTCTAAAAAATGCACATACCTTACTTTAAAAAGACTTTATTGCTAAAAAATGCTAAAGATCGTTTAAGCCTTCAGCAAGTCATAATCTTTTTGCTGATGGAGGGCTTTGCCTCAGTGATGATGGCTGCTGACTGATCAGGTTGGTAGTTACTAAAGATTGAGACGGCTGAGGCAATTGCTTAAAATAAGATAACAATGAAGTTTACTGCATCAATTGATGCTTCCTTTCAAGAGAGATTTCTCTGCAGCAGGCAATGCTGTAGGATAACATTTCCTTCACTGCAGAACTTCTTTCGAAACCAAAGTCAATCGTCTCAAACTCTGCTGTTGCTTTATCAACTAAGTTTATGTGATTTTCTAAATCCTCTATTGTCATTTCAATGATGTTCACAGCATCTTCACCAGGAGTAGATTCCAGCTCGAGAAACCACTTACTCTGTTCATCCAGAAGAGGCAGCTCCTTATCTGCTCATGATTTTGATCATGAGATGGCAGCAATTCAGTCAGGCTCCACTTCTAACTCCATTTCTCTTGCTATTTCCAGCAATCCCCCATGATTAGAGGAATTAATGCCCTTATTAGAGGAATGCGCTTACATTCTCTCTCGCTCTCTCTCTCCAGGTACATGCATCAAGAAAAGGCCAGGTGAGCACATAGCAGAAAGCAAATAACTGTAAGTTAAGAAGAGAGCTCTCGCCAGAAACCAAACCTACGGGGGACCTTGATCTTGGACTTTCCAGCCTCCAGAACTGTAAGAATATAAATTCCTGGTGTTTAAGCCATCCACTCTGATATTTTGTTATGGAAGTCCAAGCTGACTAATATGAATAACTGTATACTAATTATATTAATATTAATATAATAACAAACAATGATGAAAGTATCATTCTTAGCTAAACAGAAAGGAGATGTGTTACCAAAGCAAGCTTTATCACAAGATTTCATAAATCTGAACATACATAAGTGCCGCCCCTTAATTTTAAAAAAGCTGGCTTTTAAATGACAGATTTTAGGTATCATTTTTGTCACATTCCATGTACGGCCAGCCTCATTTGGAGTGAAGCGAGGCAGTTTCGCGCCGGCCTGATTTCAGCGAGTTCGGCCTCCCTGGAAGAACTCACGGACTTTGGAGCCGAGCAAATCCGACTTCTGCCACTTTCCAGCTGTGTTTGCTTAACCTCTCTGACCCTGACTGTTCTCGTCTGCAGAATCCAAACAGTGAGCTTTACCTCGGAGGATGCGGTAGACACCAGAGATGATCCGTGTGGAGCCGGAGCCGCGGAGCACAGGGCCCGGCGCAGCGGGGCGCAGTCTGCGGTGGCTCACGGCTAGGCAAGGCTTCCTTGGCCCTTCCTTGGCCAGCAGCCAGGGCAGGATTCCTCCGTGTCCAGCAGCCCCGGCACAAAGGAGGTCCTCAAAATATCTGTGTAGAATGAGCAAATGAATGGACATGGGGAATGCAGTGATCTCTTTGCTAAATTGTCTGCTAGAATAGCGCTATCCATGTTCTCTAGCCAGAGCCCACCAAGAACACACCTGTAGCCGAACAAAGTAACTTTCTTACCTCCACATCCAGGAAGAACGTCCCCGTGAGGAGCTGCGGGTCTTCCCAGGGAGAGTGTTAGAAAGGGCGCAGTGCAGGATCTGGGCTTTGTGTTGGTTAGGAAGCCCTAGAGGGGAGTTTAAGGAAACGGGGCTTTGATCTGGATGGGGTGTTGTCAGCCAGTGGCTGTAAATCCATGACTGAGTCTCTTAAACCTTAACCAGAGACAGGGGAGCCTGGAGCAAGGCCAAGGCTGTAACTGGTGAAGCGGCAGCAGCCGCGCGCTAGGCGGGAAAGGAGGACACAAAGCCCAGCAGACACACGGTCAGTCACTAGAAAGGAGGCCAGCTTAGGTTTTCCAGGTAGCAGACCCTGAGACAGGTTTGGAAATGCAAACTGTTGCCTGGAAGGCTGCCGGAGGGAGAGGACACCCTTGAAAGATAAAATGGAAAGAAGCAGGACTGGCAGGAAAGCCTTTCGGCCCCGATGCCGCGCAGGCCGCTGTGGGAAGGAAAGGAGGAAGCAGAATCGGACTGGGATGGAGATCTGACAGGTCTGTGCCGACCCGATGGCATCCGGGCCCTGCGAACCCCACTCTGCCCATTCATTGACTGGGAGTTGCAGAAAGAGCTTGGCCTCAGCTCAAAAGCTTTGGGGGCTCCCGAGGCTACCGCAGCTGCAATGCACACTCTGCATCCAGGCGGCCCAGCCCGCCGCTGCCTCGGAAGTGCCTTTTGCAAGGAGTACGAGCTCTTTGGCAGGATCTGCTGCAGTCGAGGTAGTGTCTCCAAATACCTGCCCTTCCTTCGTCCTGGGTTCATGTTCAGCAAGCAGCGCTCAGAGGGCTCATTTTGTTTAGGAGGAGCCCCAGTGCTGAAAACAGATGTCATCAAGAAAGCCGACTCACAGCGCAACGGCCACCAGGGAAAGAGGTCGCTCACCGAGATTAACAACAGACCATCACGGCAGTAGAGCGGTCACTTCCTGATGGTACATGTGACAGAGCCAGGCCACAGCAAGGTTAAGTCACTTGCCTACAGTCACAGAATGAGGGAATTAGGGAAGAGCCTGGTCCATCCTATTAGTAAATACTCATCCTCCTTAAGAAGCGTCAACACACAGTAGATCCACGACCCTCGCGTACCCGGATAGAAATTATTCCTAAACACGAAAAGCTAAGTACTTGTTTCAGGTGCCGTTTTTATCAACGTGAGATTAACAACCCATGAAACCACTCCAGAAGTAGCATATTAAGTGTTACTCACACATGTCACACCTTTTACTACACCTGACATTTTTAATGGCTTTGGATTTTCAGTCCATGAATGTTGCTGCAACTGAAATAGATCCACAGATGTCAAGATAAAATTCTTTCAAGGGTTCTCTCTGGCCGAGGTCTCCTAGCTTTCACAGGTTTCATGTTTTCAAAACTTAATAGAAAATTCTGTGCTCCTAAGAAGAATGTTGGTGCCTTATATGTCTTTGTGTGTGACTCCACTTTGAGATTATGGCCATGGGTCATGTATATTTTATACCAGAAGTCCATAAGTTATACACAAAGGGGATGGGAAAATGTTTAACTTTAAAATCAGTCCTCACGTGTGCTATTTCCTAGAAACTTCTAAACCTCATAGCTGCTTTTAGGTGAGCAGTGACCTGTATTTCTCATGCTACACAAAGAATTAATTAGTAGATATTGAGAATGATTTCCAATGATTGTCCCGTTAACAGATTTTATCAGGCTCAGGAGGCAGAGAAGGGAGAGACAGTTTCCATTTTAATAAGGTGATACTTCTACTCTCACACCCTCCTCGCCCACTCCCAAGCCCAAATAATTGCTGCCATATTAGCAAAACCAATAGGCAGATACCAAATATTGTATCAAATAGGCAGGTAGAAATCCCAGTTGGCCAGCAATGTCTCAAGTTTTAATATCCTGTAGTCAGAGTCATTTAGCCTCCTCTGCTCTGTAAATAACACTCCCAGGCATAGTACTTTATTTCAGGCCATTTGCCAAATCACCTACCTGACACTCCTGTCCTGTAAACCCACCTAGTCCGGGTCTACTGAAGAAGCTGTCATAGTCTGACACTTTTTTCTGCTCCCTCTTATTCCTTTGTAACCTTTGTCTTCTTGCTATAGCATTTATCAGAGGTTTTTTTTTTTTTTTTTTTTTTTGAGACAGAGTCTCACTTTGTTGTCCAGGCTAGAGTGAGTGCCGTGGCGTCAGCCTAGCTCACAGCAACCTCAAACTCCTGGGCTCAAGCGATCCTCCTGCCTCAGCCTCCCTAGTAGCTGGGACTACAGGCACGAGCCACCATGCCCGGCTGATTTTTTATATATATATATCAGTTGGCCAATTAATTTCTTTCTATTTATAGTAGAGACGGGGTCTCACTCTTGCTCAGGCTGGTTTTGAACTCCTGACCTTGAGCAATCCGCCCGCCTCGGCCTCCCAAGAGCTAGGATTACAGGCGTGAGCCACAGCGCCCGGCCATTATCAGAGTTTTAATTCATTCTTATTTGGGCACTTATTTGTTAAATGTCTGTCTTCTCACAAGACTACTAAATCTTTGAGGAAAGGAGCTGAGTTTTCTTAGTTTTTTGCTATATTTCAGAGGCTGGGACTCAAAGGGTTTTGATAAATACAGTTGTCTTCCTTCAGACTCAGGTACACACAATTGGGTCACTCTTTTCCCTGCGCTCATGGTGCACTATCAGGATTGGCCCACGCCACGCCTTTCTTTAGTGTGTTCCGTTCACTTTTCACATGCACAGTTTCTTCCCTACCCCTACCTGAATTCCTCCCACTCCTCACAAGATTTGCTACCCAACATCTTTGGAGAGTATCAGTATTTTCTGATTCTCTAACTATGCAATGGTTACTCACACCAATATGTATATTTGAAAATTATGTAATGTTGTTTGGTAATAAAACTTTTTAATATAAAAGTTTTGTTCATGTGAAACATACATACTGAAACATATGCAAGTATTTTTCAAGTTGCAATTATGCATTGATTTTACTTTATGTATTTGCTGTCTCTCACCTCCACTAGACAGTAAGCTCATGAAAACAGCGGTTCTGACTGTTCCACTCATTGCCGTATGCCCAGGGCCTGCACCCTGCACAGAATGCACGTTCAGTAAATACATGTTGAACGAATGAATGAGGTTTTTTTGTGGAATGTCTAGGTCTGAGGGATGATTTATTATCAACCAGATAAAGAATTTTCTTCATTTTCAGACATTATAAATTGATGTACATTGCTCCTGCACATTTCCATTATTAAATCAGACTGATTTTTCAAGGTAGTCAGAGATTTTAAGAGATGAAACTACACAAGGAAACACTAGATATCACAGCTTCAGTAGAAATTAATCCTTCTCCTTTCATACCATTTGTTCATAAATGAGGTACAACCATAAAGTACAATTCTATACATGGCATATTCAATAATTCTTATTAAACAAACTAGTTAAATTATTGTTAAAATTTAAACACTAAAGTTGAGATTATTGCAAAGGAATAACAGCAGAGTGTAAAGAAAAGAAAACTTTGGATTTCTGGTGATAAATCTGATACCAAGGAAACTGCTATAGTTCTAGGACATGCAAATGAGATGGAGTGCATGGGTCATGTTCTGCTTTGCAAGACATGAACACAAAGACCAGAAAAGTTCCCATCACACACATGCACACACACACACAAGCTCTTCCACGTAAATTCATGTGGTGGTTGCATGTGGATTCATGGTTTTTGGAGATCTTAATTGGTCCAGCTTGTATTTGAAAGCTTGTGAATGCCAGGTTATGGGGGCCTGGTGCAAGGAAATGCAGTGTTCCCTTGGGAATCCCTAAATTCCCACACCCTCTGAGTTATGGAGGTCACCATGGCAACATCTGTGCACGTCACTGCTCCAGTGCCGATGGGCCACAGCTGCTAAGCCCTACTGGGGATCCGTCACACCCTGTCTGGCTGCAGATTAAGTCACAGCCCTATTCCGAGTTTTCTGAGGATCTCTGAGCCCTTGAATTCATCCCAGAAGAAATAATTAAAGTCACACTGACTCGAGTAGCATATAGGACAGCAGTATATGTCATTAGCTGTTTTATAGTTCTAGAGTGACAGTCATTGCAGAAGGCAGCTGAGTGCACCTGAGAGGTGTGGCTCCTCCGAGTGGCCCAGAGGAAAATGCACTCAGCAATGATGTCCAAGACGGATTGGGTCGGCCAAGGAAGCTAGGCCAATCCCCAAGGTGCCAGGTCACTAACCACGCTTTTTGTTGGGAGTCATAAGTCTTTTCTGATTGCTTAGCCTTGAATTAAGTACTGCAGGCTATTACTTAATATCTCCAAGTGGAGAAAAAGAGCCCACATACACTTTCTCCAGACTGCCAACTCTAATCCGTGCTATGATCTGTCATCACTGAAAAAGCGGATGTTAGGACAGTTTTCATTTATCAGGTACTAGTAGTGATCCTCGAAGTATGAGACCTAGTGTACACACAAGCTTACTTGTTAAGACCCCCTACCTGGATATGTTGAAAAACCAGCCACTCCTTCCAGTACACATGTTCAGGTTGTGTACTGCATAAGTATGCCACATCTAAAAGGGCACCATTCACATCATAACACATATTAACATTAGAGAGCACATGGCCAATGTAGAGATTTAGCCTGTCCAACAAGTCCTGAATCAGCAAGCAAGTGCCCCCTCTGTATAAACTTGTACTGGCCTATGTGGTCATGTATACAACTGGGGGGCATGCATGTACCCCTCAGTAGCACACACGT